CAAACGGATCTGCAACATCGGGGTATCGGTGAGGGGAAAGCAAAACATGGCTGGTTTCATTCATAAAATGCCAGCGGCGTGCGGTATTTTATAAAAGTTTGGGATTATTTCATAATTGGTTTAAATTTAGTAAACTATACGTTTATGTTTCACTTTAAATCTTAGGAGTATCTCAATAAGCCCACAATGATATGGAGCATTGTCCATAATAATAAATAAAGTCTCGGGTAAACTCAAAAATAGCTGTTCTCTACAATCTACACCATGTAAAAAAATACTTGAGTTTGTTTCTACACTTCAACAAACGGAAAAATGTCTACTCACTTCCCAAAATTGCCACAATTCAAAATATCATGATAACTGCGTGATTTAAAACCTAAATCAAGCTAGCGTTTTTGTCAAAGCCGTAAATAAAATATATTTTTCAAATACAAATCGATACTTAACGTGGTTTTTTACCTTGAGAATATATATATATATACAGGGTGACTTTGAAGTTGAGTCATTAATTTTCAGATAATGATTGTAGAAGGAAGATAAACCAAAATATGTGTGTAAAAATGAAAAAAAATTAAAAAAAAATGTTTACCTTGTTTTATAAAGTATCCTCCCGACAAGTATTTCAGTGCGGACCTGTATTTGATCGTGAGGTCCCCTGTGAGGTCTTAAGTCACCTGATTCACGAGCCCGTTGTACTACATTAACAAAGGCACGAGGGGTTGGTTGCGCTCGATTGGGAAACCGATCCGCATAAACATGTGCCATTTTTTATTTCGTTTGAGCCACGCAACAGACACCACTATTCACGCGCGTTACCGACTGACACTGACTGTATGTATACAACTGAATAAAATAATTGTAAAAACATCGTTCCAAATTCTTTCGCTTTTTTGTTTCGGATGGGATGAACCGATAAGGCGGATTATATCCGTTGTTGCCAAACACGAGCACATGATATTATTATTGAGACAGGGCGGTACTCAAACTTCCAAAGGGCTATAACTTTGTTACTTTAATTTTACCAGAAAAATGGTAGAGGAAAAAACATTTCTTTTGATCAGATCTACTCACTGTTAAAATAAATGACTCAACTTCGAAGTCACCCTGTATATATATATTATACATCCGTGATCTTATAATATACTCATTTACTTTAAAAAGTGCCACAAGCCGAAACATGACCAGAATTAATTTTTATTTTATAATCCGCATCTTTCTGGATTCCTATTGTTGCAATTTTGGACTGTTGATGTGGATATTTCTAGAGCATCGGTGTCGCTTAAATAGAAACAAAGAACTTTAAACATATTTCATATCCGTTTAACTTATAACCTCTGTAATAAATAATACTTACATTACACAGCATTTCAAAATTACATTTCACCTATTGAATTACCATTGGTGTTCGTCAACTTCATCATTATTATCATAGTCACTGTCGTCATCAGTTTCGCTGTCGTCATCTTGCCCTATAGTTATTATAACTGGTTCCATTTCCTCTATAAATTGATCATTTTCCCAAAATTTATCTTCAATGTCCCTAGCATGTTGACAAAATGTCTGCCAATCATTAATGGATATTAAGAACATCGCTTCCAGAGTAACTTCTTTCAGTGCGGTTAAACTGAAGTTTCCAGTGGTATTGCGGCTTCTTATATGAAATTTAAGCTTTACCCAAGCTAATTCTACTGGGTTTAGCTCGCATAAATAAGGAGGTGTTCTTAGAGGAGTATGTCCATGTGATCTTATGATCCGATCAACTACATAATTTTTTTGGTTGTCAGGGGGTTTATGAAGTAAGACCAGATCGAACAAGTCAAATTTTCTGGCAGTTGCCTCATGATTTATGCCTATAAAATATGTTATTGTATAGTTTGATATGTACATGCATGTTTTGAGTCATAAGTACCTTTCTTTGTCAAGCAGGCCATTATATCTTTTTTCGAAGATGATTTTGTCGGGGTTTTATCTTCCTGGACGGAATGATATGGAGCATTGTCAAATACTATAACCGAATTGGCAGGTATATTCGGGAGGAGTTTTTCTGTGAGCCAGCGTGTGAAATTTTCCCGATTCATCTGACCGTGGTAATCGCCTGTAGCTAATCCCGCCTTAAATATCTAACAGGCATTGTCAACAAATGCATTTTCTGAACCTGCATGCACTATAATGAGTCGACCTAAAATATACAAAACGATTATATAATATGTTACAAATCAGAGTTAAGTGTAACATATATATAGCATTTTTGCTTACCTGTAGAACCTATACTGCTTATTACACCATAAACATTTTCGCTCTGCCAGCATTTTTTGAAAGTCAAGTCATTGTCCACCCAGGTTTCGTCCAAATAAACAATATTGCGCCCTTCTTCACGATATCTACGTATTTCACGGATGTATTTGTACCTCCATTGCAATATATTAGGCCTCTCCATCAAAACTTTTCTTTTATTTTGACATTTGCGCCAAAAAAAAACATTTGATTTTAATAAACTCCTGAGTGTTTCCCTAGAATAGGGGAAATTTGAGTCTTCTCGCAACTTTTGTAATAACTTCCTAGTTGTCGGGACAACTTTATATTCAAGATAAAATCTGTTTATCAAATGTCTAATAATCTGAAAATCAAAATCTTCATCTTTCTCAACAAGAGACTGACGCGGTCTTTTTTTTCCGGAACTGGATAACATTTTATTCGGGTTATTTTCTAGTCTTTCTTTATCTTCGTTATGAATTTTCCTAACAGAAGATACTCCGACTCCGGTATAAAGGGACACCCTATCAAGCTTATGTTTAAGCGGCAACGTGAGGGAATTGTTTGCCGCTTCCTCATCGCAAACCCTATAAATAATCATCAGAATGTTAGCTTAGCATTTCCTTGTTTTTTATTTATATTCAGACTCAGTAGTCAAAAACTACAATTATTGCATATTATTATTACTAACCTATAAACATTCGCAATCACTTCTCTTGTTTGGCTATGAAGCGTCTTTCCGCGAGTAAATTGGTTCATTTTAAAAAAATAATACTAAAACGAATAACAATAACAAATAACAAAACACTAAACTATTCAAAAACACACAGCACTAAACATACAAACTTAATAGAACAATAAATAGTTAACAATAATAGTTGTAAAACTCATACACGACAATCAACGGAGATACAACCTACGCCACTGGACTTTTCAATAGTATGGATATTCTAAGAAAGGAGCAAAAAATTGTGTGGGACGCTACCCAATAGGGAGTCGAATTTTCTCATGGCGACAAAACATGTGAGGATATCCGCCAATCAGATTTGTTTAGGCGGTGTCCAATATACCTTTCGGGTGGTTGTTGCCAGCTCAACCGATGTCGATAAGATCTTTGGAAAAATGTTTACTTATAATATTAAGCTAACAACCCATTAAAATACTCAGTATTTTGAATTATTATTTTTTGGAATTGTGAAAAATCGATTTCCAAATCATTAAAATTACTTTTATTATTATTATTGCTTTTTTGTAGTTAAATTTGGCAATATCGAATATTTTCGGTCGCATTCCTTTCGCTGTTGCAGATCCGTTTGCCAAACTTTATTTAAGTTCATACCTAAACGATTTTATCTGTATAATTTGACATTCGATTAGTGATTAGTTACATCTAAAGCTGAATATGTCATTCAAATAGGATTACTGAAACGGAAAATAGCCGTTTTGATTCAGACGTTTCTTTCAGAGACCATTTGACAACAGAATCGTGGTCAACGACTTTCAAAACACTATTCCGCCAAGTTTTGTTCACATCAAACAAAATCTTGTATTTTGACGTTTTTTGGATATTCTTGTCACTGGGAACAGGGACAGTAATTCAGAACTGTTACCTTATTTTACTTTTCTTACCTTCTTATAATTCTAGTTCTGAACTTTCCCAGGGCGACATGTAATTGTGATGTAATAATACTGGGCTGTAATAGACGTTCAAGATGCTTATCTGACTTTTCGTAATTTCCGTTGTACCTTTATTAGCAGGCGTATGAGCTTCTATCCATAAATCAAAACTCCAATCAGCACCAATTTTATTGGCTCTCAAAAAAATGGAAGGGAAAAGGCAACGCGCTGCAGGACGGGGCTTAATAGCGGAATTTATGAATTTTAAAAAAGCACTCGCATATTCCCGGCAGTCGAGAAACAAAAGCATCAGATCGGTCCACAGCTAACGTTCTATTTCCGACATTTTATGTGATTTGCACCACTGGCATGTATAAATTCTTGATACGTTTCAGATAACATGCAGCTCGTTTTGCCTTGTATTCCTCATTGAATAACTGGTAGATGAGTAATTACCTTGCATTGCATACTTCATTACACAATATATAATTTCTGCTCATCTCACCTGCTGCTATGGGGACATCGTGTAGTGAACTTGCAAATCCGGCCTTTAGACAAAAACTTGTCCACTATTGATTATGTCAAATAATTTTTATATCATACTAGGGATTTATATGCTTCCCAGGAAAATTACGCCAACTGCCTGATAGATTTGACAATGTTAAAGAACGGAAGTAAAGTACGAAAAAAGGAAGATAAAGAGCCGTATTCATAAAACAAAGGATAGCATTGTACTTGCAAATTATAAAGGAAACCCTCTAGACGGTATTTATAATAACTTGAAGTAAACGCTTTTGCTTTTTGAGTATAAGCATATCCTTCAACGCAGTGACATAAGTAAAAGAATATTTAAAATCTTCACCTTATACTTGGCATAGGAAGCATATCGTTCAAAAATTCTAAGTGTGGTCGGTAGCAGACTCAACTTCGTAACGAAAGGTGGTCAAACAATGATGGCGGGTATTGTGGATGTCAGGGATGTTAAAACGTATAGTCCTCGTTTACCTTCACTTGGTCGTGACTTCAAAAAATTATATCGGTTCGACGAAGCAAATGTACAATGGCTTGCGCACAGATTTTTAGTTGAGAATGAGGAAACTCTAGGAGGAGCACTTTCATGTATTCATAAAATGAAGATATGCCTACGCTATCTCGGTGACCTTAGATATCAACAAGGTATTGATCAGGAACTTGGTGTTAGTCAAGCAACGGTATCTCGGACTATGAATAGATTTGTGAACAGCATAGTTGCACAGTCGAACGGATGGATCAAGTTTCCAACTACCAACGATGAACTGATGGAGGCCAACCGGATATGGCAGAGCATGTATAAATTTCCAACAGCAATTGGTGTAATTGATTGTACAGATATACATATAGGAATCCTGAAACCAAATGACCATGGAGATGAGTATATCAACCGAAAAGGGAAACCTACTTTAAATTTGCATGCCACTTGTGATGCCAGAGAGATATTCACAAGTATTGATGTCAGTTGGCCTGGATCAGTGCATGGTTCTAGAATGTGGAGAATTCACAGACTAGATCACAACTAATAAGTAAAGCAAATTAATGTTGTACTACTTGGCTAAGCTTTTAAAACAAGAAAGAGTTATAATTGAACGGTGTTTCGGCCAACTGAAATGGCGGTTTCCTATCTTACAGTATGTTTGCCGCGTAAAGGTGGTATGAATATATGAAAGTGCTCCTCCTCGAGTTTCCTCATTCTCAACTAAAAATCTGTCCGCAAGCCATTGTACATTTGCTTCGTCGAACCGATATAATTTTTTGAAGTCACGGCCAAGTAAAGGTAAACAAGGTTTGTACGTTTTAACATCCCTAACATCCACAATTTCCGCCATCATCGTTTGACCACCTTTCGTTACGAAGTTGAGTCTGCTATTGACCTCACTCAGAATTTTTGAAGGATATGCTTCCTATGCCAAGTATAAGGTGAAGATTTTAGATATCCTTTTACTTATGTCACTACGTTGAAGGATACGCTTATACTCAAAAAGCTAAATCTTTTACTTCAAATTGTTATAAATACCATCTGGAGGATTTCCTTCAAAATTTACAAGTACAAGGTTATCTTTTGCTTTATGAATACGGCTATATCATTTGAAAGCGTTGTAGTTTTTGACCACGGACCTACTGAGTTTACGTACTTTTTACCAACATATACTTCAGTTCAATGCGTGATACCACAGTTTTCATTTTTGTTACAGGACTCTAAGGTACCGGTGTCTATATGCGTAAATAATTATGTTCATGTATTATTTCTTTGATTTTCAAGCAGGTTCTATCTTATCTCCTCTATTTTCTTATCAATGATTTTATGGGGTAGTGGGTAAGCTCCCGTAATACCAGAAATGGCCAATGTTATCGACTGCCTATGATGAGGCACACATATTAGTGACATTGGTCTGTTTACTTGAATGCCTCATGTTCTTTGTTTATAATAACTCAACTAGCTAGAGATGAGAGGCATAGGCAGAAGTGGGTTACCCATTCTATACTCGCCCGCCCTAACAAGACCTGGTATACAAAGTCCGCATATGTCTGTTCAGGAATATACAGGGTGTTCCATAATTATTGCGACAAAATGATAGGGGTTGTAGAGGGCATCAAAATGAACAATTTTTCCTTATAAACCCCTGTTCGAAAACATGCCGTTTGGGCTGCAGCAAAAAAAAAAGATCAGTTTCTTGAAACAGCTTACCTACAGTAATTGCTCAAAGTGTCCTCCACCTTGCTCAATACACACCTGTGCACGATTGTTCAATGATCGGCGAACTCTGTGGCATACCCCCGGTATGTCCTGAACATGTGCGGACGCGGCCATCACTCTTCTCAGTAGCTCTTGTTGGTTGGGAACAGGAGTTTCGTACACTAAAGCTTTCAGATAGCTCCGGATAAAATAATCCAGTGGAGTCAGGTCAAGTGACCGCGCAGGCCAAGGCACAGGGCCACCTCGGCCTATCCACCTATTTGGAAATTTGTCGTCCAAATACTGCAGCACTTGTAAAGAAAAGTGGGCTGGACCGCCATGGTGTTGAAACCACATGTTGGCTTTTATATTCAGTGGCACATTTTCTAATAGTTCCGGTAGCACATGCTGTAAGGATCGACCATAAGCATGCCCATCCAAACGTGGTGGAAGCAGATATGGCCCGATGATATGCTCGTCCACAATGCCGCACCAGATGTTAATTGAAAACTGATGTTGGTCTCTATGGATGGCTATGGCATGAGGGTTTTCTTCATCCCAAATGTGACTGTTACGGCTATTAAAATAACCGTCCTTTGTAAAACAGGACTCGTCAGTGAACAAAACGTAGCGACCAAAGTTTGGTTGCCTCAACTCCTGCTGCAGCCACCAACGACAAAAACGTCGACGCGGCAGATAGTCTGCTGGACCCATGGCTTGGACTTTTAAAAGGTGGTACGGGTGTACGATAACAAAAGTGTAAACACAGCAGGCTTTTTCTACAAACCGGCGAGACCATGAAATGTGCTAGACGAACATTTTGCAGCTGGTGAATTTTTTGTTTCTCCTATGAGCTCTTAAGGTAAAATTAACTGTAGTGCTCAAACGGCATATTTACGAACAGGGGTTTATAAGGCAAAATTGCATATTTTTATGCCCTCTACAACCCCTATCATTTTGTCGCAATAATTATGGAACACCCTGTATAATCAAAATCATGCTATTTAAAGATAAGTGGTTTCCAACTGAATCACTTTTTGCTGTCAGTCAGTTATTATAAGATTATTATAAGATTGTTATAAGATTATTATAAGACTCATGTTCTCACCAAACCATTATAGACGCGATTTAGTTTATCAAATGCTACTCAAGTGAACCATCATCCCTCTAGGTTAACATACTGCTGTCCGAAGACATATCGGCTATATTGGTCCAAAACTATTTAATAACCTACCAGAAAGCTGCAAACATAAAAATTATAGTGCAATTAAGCCTCATATTAATGACCAGATTCGGGAAAATTTAATGGTATTCAACTCTATTCAATATTGACATTTGCATATGCATGTATCAGTTTTTATCTCTTTTCGAAATAAAATTTATTCATTAGTAATAAAAATAATTTCGTTGTATTTCAATTTCTCAATTAGATATCTGCATACACAGGTTCCATGGGGCGATTTGCAGGTCGATTTGTTAATTTTGACAGTGTCTTTATATTTTTATTCTGAATTTTGTATCTGTAATTTTCCATCGGGTACGGTTGGCTAAATAGCATAATTTAACATATCTTATAGGTATTACATTGCCAATGTCAATATAAATACGTAAATACTCGTAAATCTGACTCCGAATCTGATTTATTGTTAGTAATTCCATAACTTGAAATATTTACGTACTTTTCAGTCTACAACATGATATAAGATGACCCTACAAAATACTTACGCCCTGTTATTACCAGTATTACACAGTCTGTCAATATAGGTACCATAAATGTCAATACTGACTTAATAATACTTGCTTAATAAAGAGATCCGACCTTCAACTGGTTTCCTGTCTCCTGATTTAGCGAATTACGCAAATAAAACATTTACACGTGTAACATAATTGATTAAAGTAACCCCATCAGGTAACGCTAAGCTGGTTTTATCATGTACACTTACCATCATACTTCAGTTGTTTAATAATCATTGTAGCATACTGTATATGTACCGGTGTTGTCCTGTAGGATATACTCCTTTCAGAAAACTGGCGAGCACTTACGATATATCAGAGTATGTCAAAGATGAAGGTTTTTATTATTTTTGAATTACGAGTATACTTAAAAATAGGGAGGTGCAAATGAATCATGACAGCATTGATTGCTTCAAATATGTAAGCAAGTGAAATGTCCCATTATATGATGGAATGCAACCTTTGCTGTGCTTGATACAATACCTCACGTCACAATTTCAACGTTCCCATGAGGTGCGTGTGACTATACCAGTAGCTGTCACCTGGTGAACAATTTTGTTGGCTATCATTTCATTGCTGGATCCTAATTCGTGAGCACCCAGTAAGTGTGGTGGGAACGTCAGAATATCCTAAAGAGCAAAGTGTTAACGTTCATTTATCAGCACTATATACTTTTGAACTCAAGGAGCAATTAGGTAAGATATTTTAGATGGCGACGGATGTTTTATTTGTGAAGCATGAAGTTCTCTCTATATACCAAGGCACTAATCGTAAAGTTGGTACAACCATCGCTTAGGCTCTATTCTCCAATCCAAACATAATTCCTCCTATATCCATAATAGACCCGTAATTGCAGTACTCAGCGAACACTCAGAGCTAACATCTTCATTATAATCTGACAGCTTCGTAGATGCCGGTCAATGAAACACTCCGCCACCAGTAATGCCAGGCCCGATCGAAAGGATTTAGGATGATGTTTGACCGCCATTGCCAGTGATTCGTCCCAGGAAGTTCCCAATAATCCCTCCTTTGTGCGTACATATCAGGAAACGGCCGGCACAGTAGGATTCCCGTATCAATAAGGACTGCTGCATAGCCAGAAGCGATGGCTTGCTTAGCGGAACTGGAATACGACACGGCTCACCGCTCACAAGGAGAGGTGTTTATATTGAGGTCGTTTTGAGAGGCAACGGAGAGGCAAAGGTGATTTATCAAATCCATTTGAGCAAGACGTTTATTTATGGTCTAGCTGATAGTCAGTTCTAAGTAAGTCACGAGATTAGGGCTATACTTTATATTTTATATCCTAGAGTTGGACTAAATAATCTTTAAATTACCTTTGAACTAAAGGAGAGCGATGCGCCGGTGAGTTGTAGGGGGCGCAACTGCAATCTTGAACCTAAAAAAGTGATTTTATGTGATTCCCACTATTAACCTAACAAAAAGAAAACATCTGATCTTTAAATTCGAGGATAAAATAATATATAATAAAATGGTGGGGATATACAAAAGTATCTGTAAAACGGCTGAGCTAATTTTAATAAATTTGAGCTAGTTGAAAAGAGCTAATCTTGAGCTACAAATGTTACCATATTTGAAGTTTTGTTAGTTTCACATGTGGCCGCTAGAAGGCTAGCTAGAGAGTAGCTAAATGATACCTAAACAAGCTCGCGGAAACCGCATTTCGATATCTTGTCCCTAACCTAAAATTTGGGCCAAAGAAAAATTTATACGGGAATCCCTTAAACGTTTATTTTTTTAACTGGAATTTCTTTTCATTATTAAGTTGTGGACTTAAAAGGACCGATTTAAAAGAGAAAGGGATTTAATGCCCCCGATAATGCTCGAAATGCAGACTATCACCCTCTATGCATTCTTGGGTAGACAAAACTGCAGCTTCAATTTCGGCTCTCGGTATGTTACGTACTGCACTACGAATCCGATTTTTCATCCTTGAAAATTCGAGGTCGTGTAGCCATTTTATACTACAATGTGTAGGTTGGCTCTTGTTGTGGACTTCGTGTGTCGTTTTTCCCCCTCCAACTTCGTTTCCTCAGGTTACACCCGTATCCGGATGTGTGGGCATGTGTATCTACTTTTGTAGTTTCATAT